TTCCCTTCAGCATGCAAAACCAAGCCGAAGTGTGCTCAGCATTCCTGCGCTATCCCACTTGGAAAGTAGCTAGATGGCCAGTAATGACATATCAAATTTTAATTTGGCACCAGTTTTTGGTTACTTAGAAATTTGGAATTATCTTTAAGCTGACATGACAAAATGTAATTACTGTTGAAAAACGTTGATCAGAATAATGATTTAGTTGAAAATAAATTCACATTTTTCACGATCTTAAATATTACTGTTTAACTGCTTGTATTGTTTTTCAGATTTACTTATTTGCTCACTTACCTACCACTTCTCGGAAAGGCAGAGCTGGGGAGAAAAAGACAGAGAGACCTTCCTTTTGCTGGTTCACTCCTCCGATGGCTCCAACAGCTGTAGCCCAGCTGCTGTCAGGAGCCGGAAGTCCACCCCGGGAACCCGAACCACCATCTGCTGTGAGATGTCGGTGCTGCAAGTGGCAGCTCCGGCCACGGTCGTACAACACCAGCCCTTGCTTGTGTGACTTCTTAGAGAGTAATCAGAAAAGACAAAAAGCTACTTCGAGTCTTTTTGCCCAACATTTATTTATGTGGGTTTGGATTCATGAGTTAGCTTTAGGAAGAACAATTCTTAGCACATTTTGATAGCACCACAAAGTAGCAGAAGTATAATTGTCTTATGTTACACATTTTATGTAGGCACTTATTTATTCTCTGAACCAATCAGAAAAGCTGCTTTAATTGAAAAGACTTTGTAATGTAATTTATACCCTCTGGAAACAGGGACACACACACACTGTCGTTGAGGGTAAATGCTTTTGCCAGTTTCAGATCGTCATTGAGCTAATAGCTTCAATTCTACAATTTTAGCCATAGACCAAATTGCTGCCAAGCACCACCCCAGATTCGGTGGAGTACTTTTATAGAACCCCCCAAACCTGGGCCCGTGTGGCTGATCTGCAGAAAACCACCCCTGGCATCGGGTGTTCGGGGCGTGCAGGTGTTCACACGGCACAGGGGCCTGACAGTCACTGCTTTGTTCCCGGGCTCCCCCAAGGAGGTGAGGACGAAGGTTCTTACAGATGGGAATTGGGGCTGACGGTGCATGACCTACCTCGTGTCCAGTTCCAGGTTAGTCAGCAGCGCTCATGACCTTGCTTTGAACGGTCAGCACTGCCGAGATCTTCAGGGATTTTATGACGGTCACGTGGATTCCAGCTGGTTTGGGGGGTTATGGCTAAGTGGTAGTTACCTTCCGCCCCAGAGCTGGAATTGTGTTGCTTAGATCAAAATCACACTTCAACAAAGCACTCGAGGCACCACTTGCCAAGCAGGTGTTGTCCATCAGAGAAGCAGTGAGCTCCTGGAGTCCAGCTGCTCAATCCCCCAAGTCCATGAATTCCTTTTGCTAAAGGACAGGCAAAGACACCTTGGACCAAGGTGACAGACAGGAGGCTGGACCCTGCCATTACATAGGCTCAATCCCAAAGTGACGCCAGAGACGCAGAAATGAAAAGCAAGAACAAAATCTCAACATCCCTGACGCCAAAGGAGCTCTTTCCCAGTGGGCAGGAAATAGTGGATTGATTTGTGTTCAAGACAGACAAGCGCAACAGCATTTCCCACGTGACAGGACTGGAAATTCACAAGAACGTGTCAAAAACCTCGCGAAAATGCAGCATCGAAAGGTAGTTTTATATCAGTACAAAAACAAAGTTTGAAATACACAGAGCGTTTATATAATATGTATTTTGTGAAATTTTTGAAGCTACCACATATACATGGATTTCAAATTTTTACACCGAAACAATGAGCTTAATTTTTAATTCCATTTAGCAGAAGCGTCTTGAAGCACCTTGGGTCACCTTAGGGGCTGGGTCACAGCGTTCTAACCTCACTGATCTGGGGAGTCGTGACTTAGTGGCTGAAACGGAACAAAAGACACAAAATTAACTGAGAGAAAGAAAAGCCCAGAGGATATAGGTTCGGTAAAGTCTATTGCCTCTTGGAATTCACCTTTCGGAGCCAGGACAGCCGTCTCAGTTTAAGCTGTGTCCACAGGTTACCTGGCTTTGTCAGGGGACTCTATTACACCCTCAGCAGAAACGCCAAAATTGTTAAAAGGTAATTTTTTTCAAAGTATAAATTCATACCTCTCATAGAAATACAAAATGAACCTTAGCAAAGACTTAAAATTACTTCATTATTTAATGGGAGAACCAGTACAACTGCTTCAAATGAAGATTTGACTTGCAGAAGTTCAGACGCCGCAGGGACAAACCCAGCTGCACTTCACAGTCAAGGAATCATTTGCATAGCTATAAACTCGAGATATTTACATTATAATCAGTTCTCAGAGTTCAGGTCTATTTTTAAACAGTTGGAAAAATGCCTGGTTAAAAGCAGCGAAGGCAGAGGGAACCTAAATTAATGGGCTGGACAGAAGGCACACTCATTTTTTTGTGCATTTCCAATTTTCCACAAATTTCCCCAAAAGAATAGCGATGGTACACAGCCCACGAAAACAATGAGTGTGCAAGAGCAGACAGGAGAAGTTGCAAAGTGAGTAGATGAGAAAATGGAAGCTCAGATGTCACGAAGAGGTGAGGTGATTAGAAGGCTTCCAGCTCACCACCGGAACTGTGAGGGGTTCCCGCCGTCTAAAGCAGCAAACGACGCCCTGGGCCAGGGCTGAGGAAGCAGAAAGGAGAGGAACAGGGCGCATCCATTGGGAAACGAGCTGTGCTCGTCCGGCCCGTCAGAGCCACACGCCTGTCCCAGGAAATGACTCCCCCAGAGCTCTGGATTCAAGACAACAGGCACAGCACTGTACCCTCGAGCTGAAGTGCACCCCAACGGGAGCCCACCAGCTGGAGGCTAGAGTCCCAGGGGGATACTCAATTCCAGCGAGACTGAGTTCTCTAGTCAGCTTGAGAGTTTGGAAAGAATGAATGAAAGGTGTATTAAGTTGAAATATGAAGTTGAAAATATTCAGCTACTTTATACTTACAAAAACCAACCATTTCTCTTTTCTAAAGATTTATTTTTAATTGGAAAGTCAGATTTACAGAGAGAAGGAGATACAGAAAAAAAGATCTTCCATCTGCTAGTTCACCACCCCAAGTGGCTGCAATGGCCACAGCTGAACTGATCCAAAGCCAGGAGCCAGGAGCCTCTTCCAGGTCTCCCATGCAGATGCAGGGTCCCAAGGCCTTGGGCCATCCTCAACTACTTTCCCAGGCCATGAGCAGGGAGCTGGAAGGGAAGTAGAGCAGCTTGAACATGAACTGCTCCCATATGGGATTCTGCCGCATGTAAGGCAAGGACTTTAGCCACTAGGCTTCTGTGCTGGGCCCAAAAAACCAACCATTTAAAATAAGCAAACAAAATCCTGAAACCATCACTCCCTAGGTTGACAGGAATGAGATCTCATTACAATGAATTACTTCAACTAGAAATTGTAGTTAAATAGTCAGACAATAGATCATATAATAAGCAAAAGGTTTATACCTAAGTGGAATCAAAAGAAAAGTTTATTTTGGTGCAAAAATGATTGGGTGTCCTGTAATTCCAGCCCTCCCACGTCCCGCCACGTGCACGTACAGCAGGGAGCACCTGACCGGATGCTGCTCCCGGATCTTGGACTTCTCATTCTGTGTGAGAGAAGAACTTGTAAGTTTTTATAAATTCCTGAGTCTCAGACACTCAGCACAGAACGGGTTCAGCATACTACTTGTTTGATGCAACGGCAAGAAGGGAATATCCACTCGCTCTTTATGTATATAAAGAGGCTGTCTGAGCAGAGCAGAAAAATGAATACAGATGGCTTCCTGCTCCACAGAAGCAAATGCGAGATGAGCATAGGTGAGCTACACTTTCATTACCTTTCCATAGCACTTTAATTTTGAGCTATGTGAGCTATTCAAAGGCGCATTAAAATATGAATCGGTAAATGCATAAATAGGAAGTGGATCGTATATGCTGATTTGGGAAGACTGACATGATGTGCTGGATGCAAAGACCAGACATTGCTGAGCTCTGGTGGGTGGGAAGGCCAGACATTGCTGAGCTCTGGTGGATGGAAAGGTCAGCAGGCGGCTTCCACTGGTGGATTGCCACGGGCAGTCCAGGGCTCCTTGGGGGAGAGGCATGGACAGCCCCCTGGGGAGTCAACACCTCCAGGTGACTCGCGGGTCCCCTGGCTCCAGGTGGACATGGATCCAGTGGCTGACTCCCAGCCTGGTGATTCTCACAGGTCCTCTGGCTCCAGGTGGACATGGATCCATGGTGTGTGAGCCTGGAGGTGGGCAGGACTGTGGTGTGCGAGCCTGGAGGTGGGCAGGCCCATGGTGGGCGAGCCTGGAGGTGAACAGGCCCGTGGTGGGCGAGCCAGAGGTGGGCAGGACTGTGGTGTGCGAGCCCGGAGGTGGGCAGGCCCATGGCGGGCGAGCCTGGAGGTGGGCAGGCCTGTGGCGGGCGAGCCCGGAGGTGGGCAGGCCCGTGGTGGGCGAGCCTGGAGGTGGGTAGGCCCGTGGTGGGCGAGCCTGGAGGTGTCTGAGCACCATCTGCTTGTCTCCATCAGCCTGTACAGAAGCTGGTGGCTGACAGATTCCCGCTTGGGGCCTGTGAGAAAGGACGGCCAGGAATGAATCACAGAGCTCACGAAGCTGGGGCCTGCGGTGTTGTAGGGTAGGCATGGGGGGCTGTTTCCTCACCTGCAGAATGCAGAGTTCTTTGTGCGGTTCTGTGTCCCGCCCCCAGCTCCTCAGGCCCTGCCTGTGGCAGAGATCACTGGATCACCCCTGCCTGGCCAAATGAGGACTTTGAGCCTGGCTTGCCCTTCTGAACTGCAGAAGAAAGGAAAGTCGCTCTGAGTCACAGTGACCTCTGACCCTGCTATCTGCAGAGCCGTAAACCTGGTCCACCAGGCTATAAAGGCCACTGCAGCCCTCTTCCCTGAAGGCCAGCACACACCATCCTCAGCTGGAGCAGCTGGAAGCAAAGGCCACCACCATGACGAGGGACCAGAGCGGCACCTGGGAGATGGAAAGCAATGACAACTTCGAAGGCTACATGAAGGCTCTGGGTAAGGCCAGGGCCGAGGGCTGGGGAGGGACTGCTCCTCGGGGCATTAGGGCTTCTGTGCTGCTCGCAGACTGGTGCAAAGCCTCGCTCCTCGCTCCTCGCTCAGACAGCTGTGCAAGTTCAGGCGAGTTGAAGAACTCCTGCTAGAGTCCATTGGACACTCATGTACAAATCAGGACTAGCAATCAGTGAGATTCTGGCTCAGATGTCCTTAGGATACACCCGCAGAAAACATGCACTAAAAGGAAGAGAGAGAGAGAGATCTTTCTATCACTGGTTCGTTCCTCAAATGACTGCAACTGCTGGAGCTGGGCTGGCCTGAAGCCAGGAGCCAGGAGCTTCTCCTGGATCTCCCATGTGGGTGCAGTGGCCCAAGGACTGCTTTCCCAGGCCATCAGCAGGGAGCTGGATAGAAAGTAGAGCAGCCAGGACTTCAACTGGCATCCACATGGGATGCCAATGCTGCAGGTAGAGACTTAACCAGCATGCCACAGTGCCAGCCCTTGTTTATCTGACCTCTGAACTCCAGGCCCATACCAGCCCATGTGTGCCCTGTGTGCCCTGAGCTGGCCACAGAGTGGGTCTCTGGTGAAGTTTGAAGTTTACAGAGAACACATGGAGAGCCCTGTCCAGGCTCTGGGCTCTCCGTGAAAGCAGTGTCCACAGAAGGAGTCCACAGCTGCAGGTGGCTCCTATGCTCCACGTGTTGAACAAAACACTTTCTGCCCGTGCCACTTCCTGCCTTCTCATCCCTTCTGGCTTCAGTGTCCTCCACAGATAGAGCAACCTGGCTGGAAATTTCCATACACACAGCAGGGGAGGAATGGCTGAAGGCAGGGTCAGGGGCCAACGAATTAGGACAAGATGGTGGGAGGTCTCTCCAAAAATAGGAGAATGTGGCTTTTGCTGTGCAATTAACTTCTCGCTTGATGAACGCTTCCACCGTGTCAGTGGACAAGCAGAGCTGGGAGGTATTTCATTCTGTGTGGCACTAGGGCTTTCGTGTGCACTATTCTGAATAGCTGCTTTTCCCTCCTGTAGCCATTTTGCCTCAATAATCCTGGGGGCAGGGAGGGGAAGAGAAAGCAAAAATTGGACCTGACCGGCCCTACCCTCAATGCTTTTGCACCTGTTACTTTGCTCCATGAGTGACCAGCAGGAATGCAGTTCTGGATGGATATGTGGGCAAGGGGTTTGGAGCATAGCCCGGAACTGACTCCAGGACTAGGGCCACAGAGATGAGGAAATCGAATGGCCGGGGGGTGGGGACCAGTGTCCTGAAGGCAAAGCCTGGGGCTCCCCTGAACCTCACAGGGACCTCTCGCCTTCCAGAAGCATCCGCCCAGCAGGGGCAGCAGCAGCAACCGTGCCCGTCTGTCCCATGTTGTGAACGCCTGAAAGTACTTTACAAAACTCTTCAGAAGTTTCAAGGTTTCAGCAGAGCGCTGAACAAGCCTGGCCATGCGTACCATTAGAAAGAACTTGGGTGTCTTTTGCCGTTTATGCTTAGATAACAGGAAGTCCTGGTGTAGTTTTAGGTCTGGAATCCAAGCTTTGTTTAGTGCAGGGCTCTGAAGAGTGGCCTGTGAAGCCTCAGGCTTGAGCTGGGAGGCAGGCACTCCTGCACCCCTGGTTTCCTCTGTGAAGGAGATGGGCGGGGTGGAGGATGCCAGGCAAAGTGGCAGCCCTTGCTAAAGGCAGCTTCCGGACTTCTGCCAGCTCATCCACTTACTTGGTCCCTGAGGGCTCTGCTTGTCTCCATCACAGAAGGCGCTGGGTGGGCCTAACTCCACAGTAACTGATTCCTGCTGTCCCTGAGGCTTTGCTCAGAGCTTCCAACACCCCAGCACGTGGAGTTTGTTCTCACGAGCAGCAGGCTGCAGGGCCTCTTCATGCTGGAATCTCTATGGGAGCTGATGCTTAGTTGGGCAACAGCCCTGCCTCAGGTGATGGTACTGGCCAACCTTCCACGTAGAGACACCTGGTTCCTGGCTCACGCAGCTGCTGCTGGCCCATGGTGCCTCAGGGTCCCCAGGTCCGATTCCAGTCCATGATGCCTCAGAGTCCGTTTCCCCCACTGAGGCAGGACGCATGGCTCTTCTCAAGGCCGACATGCATGGCTGAAGACGAATCTCGAGGGGCTGAGTCAGCAGCAGGTGAGGTGGGCTGCCCTCTGTCTAACCTACAAGCAGTAGACACCCGTGCGATTTCCTCCAACCTACAGGGAAAGCAGGGAGCTGGCCCAACTCTGGGGGGCACTGCAGCTTCTTCCCCACGGCTTGGAGGTCAGGCACCCTTGTCATTTGAGAAGCATCACGTGGAGTCGGACACCACTCCCTGCCTGAGATCCATCACTTTCTGAGCACCAGGGAGCAACTGCGGACCTGGTTGTTGGTTCAGGAGGAGGAGGGGGTGGAAGTGCAGGGCTGGGCGGCCGGCTGCCTTTGTGGCTGCTCACACTGCCCCCAACCCCGTGTCCTAGGGCAGCAGCCTTGCAGAGTGCCACATCACAGAAACCTCTGGGCCAGCTCCAAGTTATCAAAGTCATTTAGAGTGCAAAGGGCAAGTGCCGAGGGTCAGTGCTTGCTTTCTCTCACCTGCCTTTGTAAGCACCCAGTGTAGCCTGAGGCTCCAGACTCCTCGTGGTAAGGAATTGGTCACTGCCTGAGGTCCTTCTTTAACTGGGATGAGTAAATCAGGGAGAGGTCGAGGAAGGCAGGCAGGAGAGGGACCCAGCCACATGAAAGAACCCTTGGGGAGACTTTGTTGGCTGTGATGAACAATGGCGGAAGAAGGGCGGAACATCCACAGTCTGTTGCATGTTGTCTCCCTGAGTTCCAGGGGTCAAGTCAGTCCCCCCGCGGCCCTGCCCAGTGCTTGGTCATTTTCCGCTGGGTTCTGGCTGGGGATTCCCAGAGCCTTCCTCACACACAGGGGTGCTGGATGCCTGGTGCTGGCACGTGAAGAGCGTTATGATGCTGCTTACTGTCCAACAAGGGGCGAAGGTGACTGCCTGTGGCCCAGGAGAGCAGTCAGGATGAGCGTGCATGTTGGAGAGCAAAGCACAGCAGCTGCCCATGACTGAGAAGTGGGAAGAAACACGCAGAGCCGATGGGTGGATGGCTTTCAGGTTACAGACCTGAACATGTGGGAAGGCAGTGATTCCCCTGGCTGAAATGAGGAGGACACGGGTGGGGGAGTTAGGGTTAGGGTTTCTGGGTGAGGGGGCAATGCATTCAGAGTCCTGTCTTGCACATTTTTGTATTCAAGTGCAGTATGGAAAGTGGCACCTGGATCTGGGATCTAGAGTTGAGGGCACGGTCAAGGATGAGGTCCTAAGGATGCTTTTCATCTGACAGGGAGATGAATTTGCAGCCCAGGGAAGTGGAGAGGCCTCCTGGGGCATCCAGTGGCTGGGACAGGGGGTAGAAGCTCTGCCTGCTTCCAACACCCAAGCCCTGTCCATAGCACTGAGCTTTGCAGGGCTGGGAGGGGCATTCAATTCTGAGCAAGGACTCACAGGATAGGGCATCCCAAGTAGACTGACAGGACTGAGAAACGTGGCCAGAGAAAAGTCCCCAGGCACGATGGATGGGCGAAGGATGGTGCCCGGTTGAATGTTTTATTAGATTCCCGTTCACTGCCAGTCCTATCCTAACAGTGAAGTTATTGGCCTGACCAAAGTCTTGAACTACGTGGTGTCTTGCTGGACCTTGAAATGGAGATGTGCAGAGCAGTAGACAAAGTCCAGGGCTCAAAAAGTGTGGCCCCTTCTCACCAGCGTCCCCCTGGCAACTGCTGCCAGCAACCTCCTTCCTGACCCCATTCCAGTGGGAGCACCAGGCTTTGGTGGGGTGGCAGACAGCTGGGTGGGGCCATCACAGGGTCTCCAGCCCTCTCTAGTATCCGGAAGAGGGCAGGCAGAAGAGGAAATGGCACACTAAGGAGAAGTTTGCTCTTCCACTGTGCTCCTCACAATTGCCTACAAGTGCTGCTGATCCGAGGATTCAGGAGCTTCGAAGCCCATTTAGGCTGCACTTTGAATGGTTCTCAGATTCTGTCTGATGAATATGTGTGCATCTCTGCTCTTTCATTTACAAAGAGCGCCTGCCCTTTTACCCTGCAGCTTTTGCTCTTTTCACAGGCACATTACAAAGCATTTTAATGTTGAGGAGCGTGCTCATATTTCAACTTTATGGCTTGCATTGTTCAAAATGCAGTTATGAAAAGTATGCTTTAATAAAGTCACCCCAGTGTTGTGGGTTTTTTTTCCTTCTGCACCAGCTATAAGCTGTATATATTATTCAGAAATAGCTTGCCTTTGGACCTTTCCTTTGGAGATAGAAATTCATTTCACCTAGCTATAAATCAGGCTCCATGATACCTTTAATCCAGAAAAGCAGATAAAACATACTTGATAACCCAGGTGTTAAAATACTATATTGGGAAAATAATTTTCCCTGCAAAGTTCCAAGAGGAAGTACTTTAGTAAATCTGTGCGTGTGGATGTGTTTAACACAGCTGCAGTTAAATCCTGATGATTAGAAATCTCCAACAACGAACCCAGCAGCGAGCGTTGGGCTCCCTTCCCTGGGCCGAGCGGCAGACAAGCAGCCGCTGAGGGGTGGCCAAGAGGCCAGGCCATTTTTCACTCCTGGGCAGAAACGATGCTTGATTCCATTTGCATAGAGCCCCTAATAAGATTCCCCTGCACTGGTCAGAAAGATTGACTAACGCTGACGTGTGCAGGACAAACCCATGCCCTCAGCAGTGGACGTTTCTAGCCACCATCTATTTTCCTAAACAACCAGGAACAAGTGAGGATTTTTTCCTTTTTTGCTGGGAAGGCATTGTGGTGAATGGCAAACAGGACGTGTGTGCAGAGGGACTGTCAGAGCTTTGCTGTCACTGGGTGACTATGACCCCGCTCCTTCCACGCTCTGAGCCTTGGCTGCACAACACCTCAGCCCCAAATCTCAGTCATTTCCGGCTCTTCCTTCGCACGCTGCCTGGAGTGCACCCCTCAATTCCTCTAGTTAATACGTATAGTTTGCCTTTCCTTACTCCTAGCAATGGTTCTAGCAGCATGGGTTAGTATGGCTTGCACCTCAGCACAATGGGCTGCAGCAGGAACTCCTCATCAAGCCAGCGACAGAGGGAGGAGGCAGATCTGTGCTGCACCAGGGAGACAGGCCACAGCCCAGACAGCTGTGCAGGTGCACAAACAGAACCTGGAAGTGTCACTGTGCACACAAGACGGGCCTGTGTGTCTTTACCTCTCAAAATATATGCATACCTGTCTATGTATAAACGTGGGAGCATGTATCTACACAGAATGCAAATTTATTACTCTCTCTCCATGGAGGAAAACTTAATGTTCCTCTTTACCCATAACTAAAACTCGTGGTTTTCAAAATTCTTTTTGAGCGTGGAATCTTTTTGCTAAGCAAATGCTTGTGGGAAAGGACAATCTATCCAAGGCAGAGGCCGCGTGCAGGGTGTGAGTGCACACTGCATGTGTGTGAGACACACATGTTCTTGTACCTGTGAGCTGTACTGCAGTGTGAGCCTTGCCTGTTTTAGCTCCCTCCTCTCAGGGCTCCTGTGGCTGGGTCAAGGGACCCCTGGATTTCCCAGAAGTCAATGGAGCTGTGTATAAAACAACCCATTTTGCAGTTAGGCCAAGAAATGTGCCTGTCCCCAGTCCACCTCTTTCATCCTGAGTGTGTGGCCTTGTTAAAGAAACGAGTGGGTCTAGCTGAGCACACCATAACCTTCCGACTCCCTTTGCCAACAGACATCGATTTCGCCACCCGCAAGATCGCGGTGCGGCTGACTCAGACGAAGATCATTGAGCAGGCTGGTGATGACTTCAAGACGAAAACCAACAGCACATTCCGGAACTATAACTTGGATTTCACCGTTGGTGTGGAGTTTGACGAGTACACAAAGGGCCTGGACAACCGGAATGTGAAGGTATACAGACCCCAGGCTGGCAGCTTTCCCTCTGTGCCCTGAGCAGGAGCCCCAGGCTGGCAGCCTTCCCCCTGTGCCATAAGCAGGGGCCCCAGGCTGGTGGCTTTCCCCCTGTTCCCTTAGCAGGGGCCCCAGGCTGGCAGCCTTCCCCCTGTGCCCTGAGCAGGAGCCCCAGGCTGGCGGCCTTCCCCCTGTGCCCTGAGCAGGGGCCCCAGGCTGGCAGCTTTCCCACTGTGCCCTGAGCAGGGGCCCCAAGCTGGCAGCCTTCCCCCTGTGCCCTGAGCAGGGGCCCCAGGCTGGCAGCTTTCCCACTGTGCCCTGAGCAGGGGCCCCAAGCTGGCAGCCTTCCCCCTGTGCCCTGAGCAGGGGCCCCAGGCTGGCAGCTTTCCCCCTGTGCCCTGAGCAGGAGCCCCAGGCTGGCAGCTTTCCCCCTGTGCCCTGAGCAGGGGCCCCAGGCTGGCAGCTTTCCCCCTGTGCCCTGAGCAGGGGCCCCAAGCTGGCAGCATTCCCCCTGTCCCTGAGCAGGGGCCCCAGGCTGGCAGCATTCTTAATTTTTTAAGTAAGGATGACATAAATGAGGAAGACTAGCTAATCAGGGTCTGTGAAGACATATGCAGATTCAAGTTTTATGCATGAAACATCTTCTAATCCCATTTTCTGTGACCTCCCAAAGTGCCTTCTATGTTCCTAACTTCTTGCCATTACTGTTTCTTTTTAATTTTCTCCTTAAAGATTTATTTGAAAGACAGACAAAGGATTTTCCATCTACCATTTCACTCTGCAAACAGTGCAAAAGCCATGCCCGGGCCTGACAAAAGCTGGAAATCTAGAAGTCCATCAGGGTCTCCCAGTGAGTGACAGGGCCAGGAGTTTGGACCATGTTGCACTGGTGTCCCAGGCACATTAGAACAGGGCTGGCCTGACAGTGGAAGGCCAGGAGCCAAAGCAGCCCTCACATGGGCTGTAGTGCTGGTCCCTCCTTGCTTACAAGAGGGTTCAAATCCTATGACACCCTTTAACACAATATGTGATGGAATACGGAATCTCGCACAGCTGGTGAAGCTGTTTAAGTGCTGACATGTGTGACCACATACATGAACTTGGAACCCAGGCCAAGGAAGAGAAACCACATTGCAATGCCCACGCATTGTGGCTAAGAGGAAAGACTCCAAGGGGAAGATTTTACATGGAATTTCTTGAATAGGCAAATTCATAGAGCCAGAAAGTGCCAGCCAGGGAGCAGGAGGCAGAGGGGGCAGGGGCTGACTTCTAGGAAGTGTGATGGCCCTTCTGGGAGTGGTGAAGATTTCTACATTTAGCTAGAAATGACAGTTACACAACTTGTGGATAAAAGCTACTGAATTGCCTGCTCTAAAGGCATGAATTTTACGGTTCACAAATGACATCTCAATAGAAAATAAATGACTGACATTGGAACAGTCAAAAAGAGCAGATGTAGAGTGACAGTCAGCCAATAACCCCATTGCAGAGTCAGATGAGGCAGGAGCATCCAGAGGAGGGGGTGGAGATGGGCGGGGCTCAGGGGAAGCTGCCCCTTCCACGAGGGACCCAAGAGTAGGGCAGGTGCAGGGGCAGGGCAGGCCTGTGTCCACAGGGTCCTTACTGTTCTTAGAGATGAGATTGTCTTTTTAAAAATACTCACAGGGAGTGACTCAGGTTCATAGAAAAGTCACGAGATATAACTAACAGCATGCTATCTGTTGTTAACATCTTGCCACGTTTTAGCTTTATCATTTACACAACTCACGTGTTTCCCCTCTTTCTGCACAACTCCCACGTTCCCCTTCTTTCAGTAATATACACAGACATCTCCAGCAATCTGACACATCAACTCTGAATAACAAACACAGCAGAGACCTCCTGAGAGTTCGGATACCCTCTTGGCGGCCACAGCACACTGATCAGCTTCTGCACGTACAGCCCTGTAGAAGTCGCCCAGAAAGGGCAGTTTTCAATAGCACTAACTTAGCGCGTTGCCATCGGAGATCACAGCGGGATCCAACGTCTTCCTTTGGGTTCTGAGCACAGGTGCCCTCCCTTGGAGCACTTTCCTGCTAGAGGCAAGGACTGCCTTGCTGGAACCCATGCCCTCCACCTCCAGATCTCTTAAGGCAATTTAGTCTCTCTTAAAATCGCCCCTAATACAGGGATGAAGGGCGCCAGCTAAGAGCAAATTGAATGATGGAATCTTGGTTCATTTAACCGTTCTCTCCTCTCTGCTTCTCCTTGTCTGTCTAATGTAGCAGTAAGGCTGCAATGTGGTAAGTGTTACCATGATTCATTGGTAACCAATTTACTTTAGGGTCAGAATAACTTTTAATCTTGCTGTCCAATATGAGATCTTAAAATATTAGGTCAGGCCCCTGTACACTAACATTTTTCTCTTTCCTTCCTCCCACAAATTTACTAATCCCCTACTCCCTGCCAGGCAGGTGTCAGGTGCTGAAGATAACGTGATGAATCGGCCCCTCCTTCTGCCCTTGGGAATATTGAGTGTCGGGGAAGGCAGACAAGCAGCTGGACAAAGAGTCCATGTCTTTGGACATGTGGGTCCTCTGAAGGGACAGCAGGCAGCAGGGCGATGAGGCAGGTGGATTTACCTCAAGATTCTGTTTTACCAAAATGTGCCCATCGCGGATGCGCTGTTGGCCGCCATGCTGGATTTGGGGTCGCAGAAAGGAATGACACAGGCACCCTCGTCTCTCACATAGCCTGTTGAGGGGGACAGACGTCCATCAGCATGCTCTAGGTGTCCATGGTGTGAGGCAGTGCAAGACACAGTCCCTGCCCAGATAGAAGACGCGATTCCTTCGTGTCTGTTCAGGATGAGCTCAGCCCAAGTACTCCAATGTCTCCCTCTGTGCAGGGCGCCACCTGGGAACCGAGCTTCTTCCAGATCTTCAAAGACGCGAGGCTCAGGGTGGCCCCAAAGGAGGAGGAGACAAAGGCATGCGGAATCGTAAATTAGTCTTTGGAATATTAATATGCAGATAGCTTTTTTTAATGAAGCAATGGAGCCAGTATTGTGGCATAATGGATAAAGCCTGCTGAACAGCTACCATGCCATACAGGCGCCAGTTCGTGTCCTCACTGTTCCACTTTCCATCCAGCTTCCTGCTAATGGCCTGGGAAGTCCAGCAAAAGACAGCTCACATATTTGTGCCCCTGCACACATGTGGGAGATTTGGGTGGAAGTTCCTGGCTTCAGGCTGGCTGGGCTCTCTCCGGCTGTTGCAGCCATCTGGGGAGTGAAACGGCAGATAAAAGATGTGTCTGTCTTAAAATCTGATTTTCAAAGTAAACTTTCAAAACATAAATAAGTATCAGAAAAGTAAAGCTTCCATTCTATCCTGGCCCTCCGCCACGCCTTTCCCCACCACGGGACAGTCACTGCTAGGATTTTCCTCCACTGCTTGCGAAGGACACTGCAGACACGGTCAAGCGCTCATGTTCCATCCCCACACCACCTGCTTTCTTGCTGTGCCTACTGCTTGCTTTCACAGCATGCTGGCTGTTCTCTCATTGAAGACCTGGGATGAACCACTTAACCAGGCAGCCACGGACAGAGCAAATGGCACTTCAGTACTCCGTTGTAACATACAACGCTGCATTGTAGAGCAAAATGAGGGAAGAAATTATACATGAAATATATCATATACTGAAGATCCACTATTACTTTAGAAATAAGTAGATTTAATCATCTATAGAAAATAGATTTATACGAGAAAATAAATATAGTCTCACATATACAAAGGCAACAAGGGAGAAAAAGACAAAACACAGGTTGGCATATTATTACTGGGTTTGCAAGACAGGGAACTGAATGACTGGTTCTTGGGACACTCTTGTTTGTGGAGGTTTGTGGAGGACACTCTTGTTTGTTTGCACACACTTGGAAATTATCTAACCAGCACCTGGGCCACCCAGACACCAAAGCCCTCCTGGGGTGGGAGCGACATGAGCCTCGGAGGAAGTGTGTGTGCACTCTTAGTGGGCACTGCAGAGGGTCCAGCGTAGGGCAGCTTCTGTCAAGGCAGGTGTGAGGAGGGAAGAAAGCGGGCAACACCAGGAGGAGCCTGCGGGATGGTGTGCTCTGTGAATACGTCAAGAGAGGTTTGAGTCCTCCTGCAGTCCGGCATGTCAGGGACTCCTGCAGCCCGCTTGGCAGCTCAGTCTGCTGCCGCTGTGTGAGTGACCACCCTGCGTTGCAGCCTGCAGGAGAGTGAAGGCCTGGAGATGATCCACTCTCTGGTTCCAGATGGCGAGCCTGTCCAGGCAGCCACTTAGGCACCTGTCGCAGAGTCAGTGGACTTCCCTACCTCCACTGCTGGCTTGCAGTGGAATGAGATCCATGTGGCAAAACCTGCCATCAGGAGAGCTTCTAAGGCAGAGTGAACCAAATGTTATATTTGGAACGGTGGCACAAAGGGGCCCTCCCCAAAGGTCCACACCAATTTCTGTTCCCACTTGCTACATGTGAGATGCCCGCTTCTCCGCACTCCATCTCATTCACAGTATTAGCAAATCTTTTTTAAATAAAGATTTATTTTCATTGGAAAGGAAGATCAGATTTATGGAGGGAAGGGGAAAGATCTTCCACTGGCTCACTCCGTAAATGGACACAATAGCTGGCATTGAGCTGATCTGAAGCCAGAAGCCAGGAACTTCCTCTGGGTCTCCCACCTGGCCGCAGGGTCCCAAGGCTTTGGGCCATCCTCCACTGCTTTTCCAGGCCACAAGCAGGGAGCTGGATGGGAAGTGGGGCAGCTGGGACACAAACTGGTACCCACATGGGATCCCAGTGCTTGCCAGGTAAGGATTTAGTCATTGAGTATTGGGCCCTATTATTAAATCTTAACCTTTGACCTCTTGATAAATGGTAAGTGAAAATCCACCTTCATCTGAGAGCGACCCCACAGGTCTTCACACCTGCAAACCTGGGAGCAGATGGCAGCCAGCCAGAGCAGGGTCAGCTTTGCTCAGTTCAAGGTCACACGCTTGACTTACCTGCCACTGTGTCATTGCAGTCTCTGATCACCTGGGACGGCGATTACCTGGTGTGTGTGCAAAAGGGGGAGAAGGAGAACCGCGGCTGGAAGCAGTGGGTCGAGGGGGGCAAGCTGCACCTGGTGAGTCCTGTGGGGTCTGCCCAGCTCCCTTCCATGGTGCCACCTGGGATTCCACATCTCCTGGCCAGGCCTCTCAGGCAAAAGAAATGACCCCAACGTGCAGTCCGTGCTCAGGAAGCCATTCTGTGGCTCAGGACATCCAAGGAGGACATCTCTGTGGCTGTTCCCGCGAGTGGCTACAATCAGAAAGTTCAAAATACCAAGTTATGGAGCCAGGACAGCTGGGGACACAGATGTGCCTGAAGTGGTGGGGGGACGGTGCCTTCTCCCAGTTCCAGGAGCCCAGAAGGCAAAGGGCTGGGATCGGCTCAGCCTGCCTCTGGCCTGTGCCTGCTGCCACCAGGTCCCTAGGGATGTCCACCTGCCCCCACAGTATTTTGGGTACATTGGCATTAGCACAGGACAATGCAGGAGCCCATAGGCTCAAATAACTATCTGGCCCTGTAGTTCTATTATTCACTCTTCAGTCTTGAAGATAATTTATTGGGCCTGCGTTCAAACAGTGGGAGACCTTTAGTATAGTCCTCGTTTGTCCAGTGGTTGGCTCTTCATTCATTCATTCATTCATTCATTCATTCCCTTCTGGGGCCACATGCCTGTGTGGCACCAGCCAATGAGTTGCCAGGGACAGGAAGGCCCTGGAGTGGAGCAGCTTTTCCAGCCAGTATTTCCCATATCCTGAATCCTCATGCCCCTCTGTGCCACCACATCCTTCCCTTGCTCCTGGCACGACATTTTTGTAAATTACATGGAAACGGGAGAACTCCCGAGGGTTGTTTCTGTGCTTTTTCATGTTTATAGTTGCTCGAGCTGTTTACATGTCAAATTGAAATGAGTGCTGGAGGGCTGGCAAGCCAACAGATCCAGTGGGGAGTCACTTTGCCCAGTCTGACAGAGTCCTGCTTATAGCACGTATCCCCACCTCCACCCCTACCCCACACTCTGAGGACAGGGCACTGGGCAGATGAGGACCCGGCCTCTCAGCCGCTCACCCGCTTCTCTGCTGTTGCAGGAGCTGACCTGTGGGGACCAGGTGTGCCATCAAGTGTTCAAAAAGAAGTGAGGTCCACGCAGGAGGCCCCCTGCCCGCTGGAGCCTCCCCTCCCACAGAGCCCACGACGCGTCTGGTGAGAGCGTAACTGACAGACCCACCCTCCCCTCAAACCTGGCATTAAACACCAAGTCCAAAGCCACACCCTTGCTCAGAAGCTTTTTGAGTTTGTTTGCTTGTTTGTTTTGCCTTTTTTATTATTATTATTATTTTATGGTACAATTCCATAGGGCTTGGGATTTCTCCAACCCATCACCCCCAAAATTCCCAAGCCCGACTGACTTTCCCCATATTATTACAATAGTATAGTCCTTCATAAGCAGTCACAAGTCTGTTATTTAAGCATGCCCCAACACTGCTGGTACAGACATCAGACTGTGCAGCGTCCCATTGTCTAGGAATGTCCAACGGTTTCATTGGGAGTCCATCTTTGATTTGTACAGCTTTGTATCTTCACACCTGAATATGACCCTGGTGTTGCGAGCAGCAGTCGAAGGCACCGTACACGATGCCAGCCCGCCTCGCTGTCGTTCCATCCCATTTTTCTTTTCTTAGTTTATGTGGACATGCGGAGTCCTTTTACAGACTCGTTCTCTGGGCAGCAGAGCACCCCCCGGTTCTCGAGTAGTGTCTATTGGAGAGTCAAACCCCGGGATGGCATATTGTTTCTCCAAAATTCTGTTTGCGCTTTACGCTAAGCTGCCCCCAGGAAAGGCCTCAGTGGGTGTGCAGGGTCAGCCGCCCGGAGAGAGACAGGGACTCTTCATCCTCAGTCCTCTAGTTCACTCTCTAAATGGCTGCAATGGCCAGAGCTTTTCTGGTCTGAAGCCAGGAGCTTCTTCCAGGTCTCCAAATGGGCCTTCCTCTGCTGCTTTCCCAGGCTCATTAGTAGCGGGCCGGATCAGAAGTGGAGTAGCTGGGACTCGAACAGAAATACAGATGGGTTGTTGGTTTTAGCACATTACCACAACCTCAGCTCCCCATTTAGAAGAACTCGTAAAGTCCCCCTAGACTTCGTCTCCAGCTGCATCTTCTGGGACCCTCATGTTGCTGCAGGGGGCTTTCTCTTTTCACTCTAACAGCTGGCGGCCAGTACTGACCTCCGTCCATGGCAGTCGGCCTTTTCTGTTCTCAGTCTGTGAGTGACTGAAAGTGCGGAGGTGAGGATATTTAATTCTGGCTCACTGATTACACTTGTTAAGTGGACGAATACAATTAGGAGCTGGGGCTGGAGAAAATGAAATACAAACGATGAGACTGTGTGTGCAGATGACCCCGAGGCGTGACCGTGGGTGAGGCTGTGTGCAGAAGCCCCCAAGGAGTGACCGTGGGTGAGGCTGTGTGCAGATGACCCCGAGGCGTGACCATGGGTGAGGCTGTGTGCAGATGACCCCGAGGCGTGGCTGTGGATGAGACTGTGTGTGCAGAAGCCCCCGAGGAGTGACCGTGGGTGAGGCTGTGTGCAGAAGCCCCCAAGGAGTGACCATGGGTGAGGCTGTGTGTGGAAGTCCCCGAGGAGTGACCGTGGGTGAGGCTGTGTGCAGATGACCCCGAGGCGTGACACAGAATGCATGGCTCTGCGCATCTCGGATGAGAGAAAACAGGAAAGGTGCATCATTTGAGAACACTTTACAGCAGGGAGCCGGGGATGCTGCGAATAGAAAAGCTGAGAAGCCCAACAGCAGGTGCCGAGGGGGCAGAGTGCGTGTGGCTTGGACAGGCTGTGTCTGAATAGCGAGGTGGGGTCCCCATCAACGGACACTGCCCATCTCGCTGTGTGAGGTTTGCCAGGAGCCAGCCTCACCCTGGCCCTCCGAAGCCTCACACCACTCTGCATCAGCCCTCATTTTACAAACGAGGCTTCGGAGGGCTCCGTATGATGTGCCCATGGTGGCAGCCAGGACAGGAAGGGCAGCAGTTGGAACCCAGGTCACAGAGCGCGTCTCTCGCTGGCGTCCCCTGCCCAAGCAGCTGCCTTACTGCAGTCAGTAAGTCTTCGGGCAAATGTGACCTTTTCGAAATTCAGACAAATCTGATTTTCAATTTTAAAGGACACTAAAATTAACATAAGAAAGCACTTGTGGAATTGGAACAAAACAGACTATTTTATTAGCCTAATTGCTTTTAATTCATGGAAAGTGCTTAAAAGCTCAGTGGAAATGTTCTCATTTCTTGAAGTTCATTGTTTTAAGCTTAAGGAGCAATGGTTTAGAATTTCAGACTTCTCTAGAGCCCGGATCCAAGTCCAGAGCTGGGCAGCCCCAGGCAGGTGGTCCTGCCTGCAGGCCACGGCTGTGCTTACCTGCCTGGTGGGGTACAGGCGGCTGTGCTTACCTGCCAGGTGGGGTACAGGCGGCTGAACCCTGCCAGGTGGGGTACAGGCAGCCGAGCCCTGCCAGGTGGGGTACAGGCGGCCGAGCCTCCCTGGGTCCTTTCGCGTTAGCATTAGGCAGTGATTTGCAGCTCCTGTACATTCTTGCTCCCAGGCTCCTGGTCAGAGGGCGCCCAAGGGCCAGGCTGTGCCTTTTGGAGCCTTGCTCTCTGTTGCGTCCGATGCCCGCTGGGGAGTTTGCCCTTGGCCTGGTGCACCTCCTGCAGCGTGTTGGTGCAGTCTGTCTGTCCGTCGGCCTCTGCATTCAAGGAGCGCATATTGAACATCTGCCACAAACCAGGTGCGGCTGCTGCGTGGCAAGAGAAGCAGCTGCGTGCCCTGTTGTGGCCTCCCAGCTGTGTGAGCAGGAAGACTGGGGTTGTCCAGAAGCACAGCCCAGAGGCGCGGGATCCAGGCTCGGCCGCCTCTTCCCTGCCAGCCCTGCATCTCCTCCTTGCTGGGTGGGGCAGGAGGCCGAGGGAGAGCCTGCAGGTCGCGTGGAGGAAGCGGCGGCCCTGCTGCTGTACGTGGCTCATGATCACCATCACCCACAGGCACAGGTGAGTGGGATCCAGTCTAATGCTCTGAACGCCACACATGGCACGTCCCAGCGACGCGACAGACAGTGGCCGACAGGACTACCGCCGATTGCTGCATTTTAAAAGTGCGAGCGTGTCACTCCAGGCAATGATTCTCGGCTGGGAATGCCCCCAGAGGACAGTGAGCAATGCATGGAGGTCGTTCTGGTGGTCACAATGGGGCAGGGTGGCCCTGGTGCCTAGGAGATGGAGGCCAAGAATTCTGCTCACAGCCCCCCAACCCCTCAGACACGTGCCTTGGTGTCAGCAGAACAGGACGAGAAACTGGCCTGGTGGGGACTTGCTGGGTCACCAAATGCTCTTACGTAACGTTGTGTTCAGCAAGTAGAAACTGATCACGTGGCTGAGGACTTCCTAGAAATGTCTCTTACCCGCTCTAGCCCCAGGGTAGGATGCACCTGCTTTGCCCCCAGTTTGAATGACTTCAGAACAGCTGCACCTGCACGAGGCTCCGTTCCCAGAGCAGCTTTGGCTGTTGCCGCTCATCGCATTCCTCCCTTCCCAACCTGTGTCTCGTGAGCTCTCTCTGGGAGCCAGAGGACTTGAGTAAAAGCTGCTGATCTGCACAGTCAGAGCTCCTGCTTTTAATGATCACCCTCCCTGTCAGGGTCCTGCTCTCCCGTGTCTCGGGCCTGGAGGCCCCGTCTTAGCTGGGTTATGGCCTATGGGAGACATGATGCGCAGCCAGCTGACGGAAACCCTGGAGGTCAGAACGGTGCCGGCAGCCCAGCCCTGGGGAAGAGTTCCAATTCCCGTTGGGATCAAGAACAGCGAGAGAGGGTGAGGAGGAAAAGTTGCTTTCCTGACTCTGGGAACGGGTCTTAGGGCTGCCTGGGCAACAGATGGGGAGCAGTCCCACTTCCCCAAAAACGGGAGGCTCAGAAGCTCCCGGCCCCACACCCTCTCTTGGCCGGAGTCTCTGGTTTATGGTATGCCAATGGCGCCTCCACAAAGCATCATTCAATTACTCATGTGTAAGTCAGTACACTGAACACCTGGTTGTCTGGCGACCAGTACACGGAGTTCAGTAAAACTCAGGCACCTCCAGTGTACCCTAACATTCCTCTCCCTCATGGGGAGCCGGAGAAGGGACCCACTGAATCTCCCATGCTGCACTCTGCTCCAGACGGCCTACGAGGAGGACGAGGCCTCAGAAAGCAACAGCTCAATGCGCACCACGCTGCTCGCTCCAGCGTCCTAGTTCCAAACAGGGCAGAAGTTACAAAGCGCAGAAGTGGGCTGGGGACAGCTGAAAGGCCCGCAGTGGTTTCCACCTTTAAGGCACTTTCATATTTTGCATAATCTTCCAAGAACCCGGGGGGAAAGAGTGTGTTACTCTTGGCAGATGGGGAGACCGAGGCAAGGGGATTAATAGAGTCTCAGTGCTGCAGGTGGCTGATGGCCCGGTTGGCACTCTGCTGCCATTTGCCCACATGTGTTTTGCAGGTGTAATGTGCCCAGCATTCACTGGGGGCAGAGCCCTCTTGGGCTCCAGGTTCAGCTGCCCCTTCTCCCCGCTGTGCAGAAGCCAGAGAGCCCAGCTCCATGCCTCAGAATCCTGGGCGTGGGAACAGCGGGCTCCATGGCACTGGGGCTGTGTGCTCTGTCGGGTGGGCAGTGAGTGGGCACGAGGCCAGCAGGGAACAAGGCAAAGAATACAGAGGCTTTTGTGTGTCACGGAGGTGATCCCGGGTGGGTGAGCAGGTCAGCCTGTGGGAACAGGCTCTTAGAGAGAAGAAAGTAAAATGTTTGGGATCCTTCGCTGCTCTGGTGTCTCGACACCTGAAAGGAAGCCCGCATGACTACGGCCAGGCTGCAATGCATACCGCCGCTGCCTCTGGAGCTCCATGCTGCTCTCCCGTCCTGCCGCCCCACCCTGCAGCAACCCGCTCTGCTCTGTCTCCCCTGCACTATTGTCTCCGACATTGTGGCCAAGACCCTCCAGCCTGAGAAATCGCCAGGGGAGCGATGTGGCGGAGGCCCGGCTCCCCTCACACCCCGGCCCTCCCTGCTGGTAACTCTGTTGATTCCAAAAGTTCGCTCCGGCTTGCCACACAGAAGACCATTGTGCCCTGCCTCTCAAAACCCGCAGGCTCCCTGCTCTCAGAACCAGTTGGCATAGCGACTGAGCAAGAAGGACACTTTCAAAATGGGCAATTTCGTTTTCAATGATCATTACGTTTTTAACTGAATGTCACATTCCCGTAATTGCGGGGACACTAATTG